GTCTGGGGCGGGTTTCTGCTCTACAACGTCGCGCGCGTCGCCCAGTTTTCCGGCCGCTTCCTCTGGACCCAGCGCGAGGCCTTCGGCGTCCGGCGGAAGCGCGAGCTGCCGTCCCTCTTCCTCGACCTCTCGACGGGCGCCGCGGCGTCGCCGGCGGCGGAGCCCGTCTGGAGCACGGACTACTCCTACGAGGCGCGCAAGTACAGCGCGGGCTCCTACGACGTCTGAGGGGGCCTTCGTGTAAAAAGGGAGTCAATTAGAAGCAGAGCAGAGTCGCGGGCGCGGCGGGAACAGGGGGGCGCTCCGGAGCAGGGGGACCGGGCGCCCCCGGTCGCGGCTCAGTCCGCGAAGGAGAAGTCGTCGGACGCGCGGCTCGCGACGTCCTCGTCCTCGTCGACCTTGGCGACGAGCTTCGCGAGCATGTCCTGCTTCGACGCGAAGGCGGCCTTCTGGGACGCCCGCGCGCCGCTCTGGCCGCCGTACATGTTCGAGGCCTTGCGCGGGTCGTTGGTGTCGACCTCGACGGCGTCGACCTGTCCCGAGCCCGTCGAGTCGACGGCCTTGGCCGGGTAAAACGTGTCCGCGATGCCGTCGCCGACCGTGTCGACGCCGACCGTGTCGACGACGCCCGTGCCCTTGGTGTCGAGCATGACCGTGTTGCGGCCCTTGGGCATCTTGAGGTTCGACGTCTTCTCCGCGGCGCCGGCCGTCCGCGCGCCGGCCCTGTCGTCGGCCGCGGCGGGCAGGTACGCGGCGCCCTCCTTGGTCAGGAAGGTCAGCGGGTTCACCTTCAGGACCATGCACGTGATGTCGTCGCGGTAGTCGCCCTCCTCCTCGGACCACCTGGCCGCGCCCTCGAGGATGAGCTCCTGGCACGCGGCGGCGGCGTCGTTCGAACGCTCGAGCGACTCGCTCGCGAGGTCCACTGCGTACTGCGACGGCACGAACTCCCAGATGCCGTCGGACGCCACGATGATGAAGGCGTCCTCGGCCTCGTCCACGGCGTACTCGACGACCGCGGGCTCCGCGATGACGCCGACGTGCTTCACGCAGCGGTCGCCGAGCGACCGCGCCATCGCGAGCCCGACCTGGGCAGGACAAGAGCGATTCAACGTCGCTTCAACGCGAGCGTTCCGCGCGCGCGCGTTCCAAAAAAAGCATCCACGCTTCGAGACCGTTCCGAGAGATGATCGCTCGTCCAAAAATCAGCCGAAACGAGTGGAAAACGGCCGAGATATGAGCCTTTGAAGTTGGGAATTTCGCTCTCTTTTCCTGCCCTGAGCCCCACCATGGTCAGCTCCTTGTTCAGGTAGACCCGCGAGCTCAGCCCGTCGACGCCCTTCTTCACGAAGCCGCCGGCCTTCAGGATGCGCGGCATCTCCAGCGGGTGGTCCGGGTTCTGGTCCACCGTCAAATCCTTCGCGGTCCCGTCCTTGCGGCCCAGGACCGCGCGCGAGTCGCCGACGGACGCGATGGTCATCTTGTTGCCCACGAGCACGGCGACGACGGCCGTCGTGCCGCTGTGGATCACGGGCACGTCGTCCTGGGCCATCTTCTCGTCGCAGCGGACGAACGTCTCGATTAGAGCGGTCTTCAGGTCCGACTCGAACTTGGGGTGCGTGCAGAGCGTGTCGCGGATGTACCTCATGCAGTAGTCGGACACGATGTCCCCCCGCTCGCCGTGGCCGTCGAAGACGGCGAAGAGCGCGCGCCGCGGGTCGCCGCCGTAGGGCTGGACGACGCAGCCCCGGTCCTGGTTGATCTTCGCCGTGGCGCCGGCCGTGAAGTAGGACGGCTCGATGCCGTGGCAGGAGAAGGTGCCGACGACGGTGGACGGGAAGGGGCTCAACGCCCAGTCGGGCTCGTAGATCTCCTTGGCCTGGTAGCTCCGGTCGCGCTCCTTGCCCGCCGCCTGCTTCGCGGCCTCGGCGGCCTCCGCGGCCTGGAGCAGCACCTCGGAGCCGCGGTCCTCGGGCGCCTGCTGGAAGGACCGCCGCTTGCTCCGCTTCTTCGTGTAGGCGTCGCCCTTGACGGAATCAAAGCCCTCCCGGGGCGCCTGCGCCGCGTCGAAGCCCACGGTCAGGCGCCGGTTCGGCGTCGGGCCCGTGCCGCCGTCGGCCTCCTTGGCCTTGAGCTCCATCTTCCGCGTCGGCGTCATCGGCGACGGCGGGCCCGCCGTCGTCGCCACCATGGCGTCGGAAACGGCCGGACCCCGCGAACGGGACGGCCCAAGACGCTAATGCTTGATTGCTCCACGTCGTAGGATGACTTTGATCATGAAGGAAGAAACCGACTTGTCCTGAGATTTGTAGTCTAATTTGCAGTTGAGGCTCAGTTGCATCACACGGTGAAGTAGTTGCATCACGCGATGAAGTGTTAAAGTGCAGCTCGACGGCCGCCTCGCGCCGCCCGGTCGGCGCCGGCGTCCTCGCCGCGAGTCGGCGACTCGCACCCGGTTCTTCTAAGAAGAGGCAGCCCCTTCGCCGAGTTACACAAAACCGGCCGCGCTAGCGCGCGAGGGCGCTGACCCACGTCGTGTCCGACGAGTGGACCTCGTCGAGCGTCGTCCAGCCGCCCTGCGGGACGCGCGCGTCGCGCCACATAGACACCCTCCCGGGACGCGGGCGGCGACGTGGAAGTCCGCGTCCATCATCTCCTCCCACTCTCTGCACTTCGCGTTCTCGCGGTAGCGGCTCCCGGGCCCCGTCGCCTCCTAAAATTGAACACGCGTCGCGCGCGCCGCGAACGCGCGGACGCCGGCGGCGCGACGCCCATGACCGTGTCGCCGGCCGTCGTGATGTACATGAAGAGCCGCCGCGTGTCCGGCACGCGGAAGATCGTCAGCTGCCTGCAAAGCGAAAGCAATCGCGCTTGCAGACGCGCGCGCGACGCCGCGATCACGCACGTCACGCCCGCGGCGCGCAGGCCCGCGGCGACGTCGGGCCAGATCTCGTCGTGGTACTTGAGGTACTCGTCGATCTTGCCCTCCTTGACCTCCGTCGTGAACGCCTGAAACGCTGCCAATGCTCAACGCGCGTGCTAAAGGTCGGTTGCACGTACATAGCGGACCATAGCTCGCTACTAGAGGCTGGAAGCTGCCACTGGACGAGGCCAATGGCGGAATTACCACAGCTGATTCGCGCAGCTCTTGCGCAAGCGCCCGAGCCGGCAAGGCAGCTCTCGACGACGCTGATCACGAGCTGATTGCGCTCTGAGGCACGCCGCGCCGACGCCCGCCGCCCCGCCCGTGCCTCGCGCCGCCGCGTCCGCGGTCCGCTCGCGCGCGCCGCGGCGCTCGCGTTGAGCTCCGCCGCGCGCCGCGGTCGCCGCGCCGCGCGGAAAACATGTCGACGCACTCGAGCATGCAGACGACGTACCAGAGCCTGTTGACGGCCTGCCTCCTCGGCGGCCTCGCCGTGCTCTACCTCCAGCGGCGGCGGGGCAGCACGCGCCGCGCGGCCATCGAGATCGGCGAGCACAAGACGCGCATGCTCGTCGCGGACGTCGACTACGCGGGCAAGGTCGTCATCAGGGCGATTCAACGTCGCTTCAACGTGAGGGTTCCGCGCGCGCGCGTTCCGGAAAAGCGTCCACGCTTCGGGAGCGCTCCGAGAGATGATCGCTCGTCCGAAAACCAGCCGAAACGAGTGGAACACGGCCGGGAGAGGAGCCTTTTCGCACCTTTCGCTGCCCAGGTCGTCATCAAGGAGGTCCACAGCCGCGAGATCCGCCACAGCGCGGCCAAGGCGCTCGAGGACGTCGTCCGGGCGTTGGTGGCCGAGGCGCGGGACGTCGGGGCCGCCCAGGCGACGGTCTACGAGCGGCCCGGGACGCGCGCGCCGCCGGTTCCGGCCGCGGGCGCCGCGCCGGCGCCGGGCGACGGGCGGACGACGCTCCTCCGCCGCGTCGAGGACCGCTGGCGGAAGTCGTCCTGCGACTCGAACTTCGACCTGCGCGTCGTCGACTTCCTGCCGCAGGCGCCGCCGTGGCGGACGGCGGCGCCGAAGGTCTCGTGACGCGGCCGGGCCGGCGCGCGCGCCGGGACCGACGCACGCCGCGCGCGCCGCCCCCTCTGTGTAACTAACGGGCCAATCAGACTGGAGTTTTACGAGACGAGCGCGGGGGCGCGGCGGCGAGTTCAAACGCTTCACCACTCCTTGCCCGTGACCTTGGACGGGTCCTTGGTCATGCGCGAGTAGGGCGAGATGGTGTCGTCGAAGATGTAGCGCAGGATCGTCCCCGGCCAGCTCGAGCACTGCGGCAGGTGGTCGTAGTACTCGGGCGCGATCTCTTTCACGAGCGGCAGCCGGCTCCAGGGGATCGCGGGGAAGTCGTGGTGCTCGTTGTGGTAGCCCACGTTGTAGGTGAGGTAGTTGAGCACGCCGTAGTAGGAGTAGGTCTCCGCCGTGCCGTCCATGACGTAGTGCTCCGAGATGAAGTGGCCCGCCGTCGGGTGGATCGACCCCGCGAAGAACGTGGACAGCAGCAGGTAGAAGAGGGGCGTCGTGCCGTAGGCGGCGACGAGCAGCGCGTCGCAGGTGAGGCAGATGGCCCAGTTCGTCGCGATCCACTTGTCGAAGGGCACGAGGTCGGGCTTCGTGAACATGGGTCTGAGAGCGTAGCCGAAGATCTGGAAGAACATGAAGACGGCCTTCCGCGCCGAGTGGTCCCAGTAGTTCAGCGCCGTGCCCGTCACTAACAACCCCTCGATGGCCGAGGGGATGTCCGTGTCGACGCCGAGCGTGCCCTGGTTCCGGTGGTGCGCCATGTGGTAGGGCTTAAACGTCACGCTGTACGCGATGCAGATGGGGATGTTCGCCATCATGGCGATGTAGCGGTTGCCCGCGACGGACTTGGCGCCCAGGTTGTGCGCGAGCTCGTGGATCGCGAGGAAGAGGCTGTGGTTCGCCGTCGCGCCGACGACGTAGATGGCCGCGAGCCACGGCAACCAGCCCCAGCGGCGCGTGCCCACGGCCATGGCGAGCTGGAGGGCCACCGTCGCGCCGGCGATGTACTTCGTGCGCGGCTCGAAGCGGTAGAGCTTCTTGATCTCGGGGTACTTCTTGAGCATCTCCGTGCGCCGCTTCGCGTGGGGCTCCTCGTCGACGCGGATGTGGAACGCGGACCGGCGCGCCTGCTTCCGCCCGCCCTTCCCCATGGCTTCGATCCGAGGGGCTCGGCGCGGCGCTCAACGGTCTCGGCGGGGGTGGGCCCGTGTGTGTGGGCGGCGCTTTTGGTCGAAGACTTGGGTGCCAGCTATGACCGGCGGTCGACGAAATCGATGTATCGACAGTCGTTGTCAACGTCGGCGGCAGCGTCGACCTCGGCATCGTTCCCCGCGCGCGCGCGCGCGCGGCGAGAGGGGTCCCGCACGCGTCGGTCGCTGGGCTTTACGCTCCTAAAGACGTGGTCGAGCTCGCCCATCGACACGAGCTTGTCGACGACGTGCGGAAAGCCGGCGACGCACGCCCAGAAGTCCGCAGCCTGCGTCGGGACGCGCGCGCGTTGCCCGAGAAGGCTGCGGGGTATGAGATGAGGCCTCCATCGCGCGCGAGCGCGACGCTCTCGGCGTCTGCACGCTTCACAGCGGCCGCGGCGCCTTGCGCCTTGGCGCGCGCGAGGTCTTCGGCGGCGAGAAGCCCCGGGCCGACGACGCCGAGGCCGACGAGGGCGCGCTCATGCTCGACACGCTGCAGCCGCAGGTGGCGGCCGAGCTGGGCCGCCTCGCAGGGTACCGCAAGCACTGGTGCTCTTCATGTTCCGTCTGGTTCCAGAGCCGCGACAAGACGACTCGGGCCATCGTCGTGACGTTGTTACCAGGGCTACATGGCCTTCGGCGTCCACAAACGCAAACGCGACGACCTGGCCCTGGCCGGATACGCCCGGTCCCTGCGCCTCGACGACTAGTCCGGTGGGAAGCTGAGCTTCCGCCCAACAGACTACAGGACGGACCGCGTCACCGACTTCGCCACCGTGACACCCCGCCAAAATCGCAGTCTAAGCTTTAAGTTTTAAAGCCCCCACCGCCGAAGCGCCTCCTAGGCCCCGCTGCCCAGCGACCGCGGGAGCGTCGCCGGCGACGGCTTGGGCGTGTCGACGTCGGAGGTGCCCGGCCGCGCGAACGCCGCGGACACGTCCGTCTGCACGCCGACGAAGAAGGTGACCTTGCCCTCGGCGTCGCGCAACGGCGCGACGAAGAAGCGGTTCCAGAAGGTGGTGCCGTCCTTGCGGTAGTTGAGGATCGTCACGGACGCCTCGTGCTCCTTGTAGACGGCGTCGCGAATCACCGACACCTGCCGCGGGTCCGTCCGCGGGCCCTGGAGGAAGCGGCAGTTGCGGCCGATGACGTCGTCGCGGTCGTAGCCCGTCATCTGCAGGAAGGCCTCGGACGTCCAGACGATGGGGTTGTCCGGCAGCTCCGGGTTCGTCACGACGAAGGCCTTCTGCGCGTCCTGGATGACCTTGATCATCGACAGGTCGCGGCGCGTCAGCGCGCTCGGCGGCTGGGCCATCTCGCGCGCTGCCGCGGGGAGCTCCGGCGGCGCGAGCGTCTCCGCGCTCGGGATCTGCGGCAGCCGCGGCGCGCCGAGCGGGTGCGTCAGCGCGCCGCCGCCGAGCGCGACGGGGTGCTCGGACCCGAGCGACTCGAAGAGCGCCTTGCGCTCGTCGACGGACAGGCACTCCGTGGCCACGCGCTTCAGCCGCGCGTTCTCCTCCTGGAGCGACTCGAGGCGCCGTTTCAGCGCGGACGCGAAGAAGCCGCGGCGGAGCGCGTGCTGCTTCGCGTGGCCGCGCGCGCCCTCGGCGACGCGCGTCGCCGGCTCGTCCTCGGACGCGCTGCGGTCGCGGCCGTCCTGGATGACCGTGTCCGCCTCGAGGTCGCTGCCCGCCTGCGACGCGCCGGAGCCGTCGTCGTCCGGCCTCGGCGGCTTGGGCTTCTCGGGCGACCGCGGGGGCGACTTGGCGGCCTTGAGCGTGCCGCCGTAGAGGAAGGACATGTGGGCCTGGTGGGAAGCCCAGGAGCCCGTCCAGGACGGCTCCGGCGCGAGCATCTCGAGGCCCATGCCCAATCCCCGGTCCGCGCCGGGCAGCGGGTCGCAATCGACGACGTAGGCGGCGAGCAGCGCCGTGTCCCAGGTGTCGCTGGGCCGCCGCGCTAGTATCGGATCGTCGGCGCCGGAGGCCTCGCTGCCGCACACGCCCGGGGGCGCGTCGCTCGTGTCGCCGCCGGACGAGTCGCCGCCGCCGCCGCCCGTGCGCCGCCGCTTCGCGCGCCGCTCCGCGTCGCTCGCCGACGCGAACTGCGGCTGCACGAGCGCGCTCAGGTTCGCCTCGCCGTAGGACCGCTTCAGCATGCTGCCATGCAACGAGGACACGTGCTTAGGAGGTGAGTGCGCTCACGGAGCGTGCTGCCGCCCGGGAGCGGCGCCGCGCCTCGCGTCTTCGCGCGCACGTTCAGGGCGCCATGGTGGGTCCGTTGCCAATGGGCGCGGTGCAACGTCGGGTTGGCGCGGTGGTCGCCTCTGCGAATGACGACGGGTCGAGACGAAGGAGCTGGACCTTGATCACAACAAAGATCGTCTCGGGCTTGAGCCTCGACGTCGAGGGAAACCGAGTCAGCGCCTTAAGTTGACGATTTTCAGGCCAGCGCGGCGAGGTGCGCCGACGCTCCAGTCGAGTTCCACACGAGTGTTCCACGTCCGCCGCCTCCGGAACAAGGCGGCGCGAATGCGCCACCAGGACAGGTACCAGGACGGCGCGGCCACCGCGACGCGCGACGCCGCGACGGCGCCGCGCCGCGACGGCCAGAGACGGCGAACGGACGACTGCGAGGAACGATACAAACTTACGCTCCCCTCCGCCGCCGCGCGACGACGAGCGCCGCCGCGGCGACGCCGACGCCGACCGCGTAGAGCCAGTTCGGCACGCAGCGCACGGAGAGGACGACGGCGTTGTTGCCGTCCATGAACTCGGCGGCGTAGGCGACGAGCGCGTCCGCGTGCTCCGGCGCGACGGCCGCGTCGAGCCCCGCGTGCGGCTTCGCGATCTGCGTGAAGCAGTTCTTGAAGTCGCGGCGCGCGGCGCGCATGTCGTCCGCGACGTCGAAGAGCACGTGGTCGCATTTCGGCAGCACGCGCTTGACCTTCTTCTGCGTGTTCTTGCCGCCGCCGACGACGAGCGCGCCGTAGAGGATGAACGTCGCCGCGACGGCCTCGACCGCGTCCGCGGCCCGGAGCCGATCGACGTACGCGACCGTCGCGGCCGTCCGCCGCGCGGCGCAGACGGCGCGCCAGCCGGGCCCGAAGAGCTGCGCGAGGTCCGCCTCGTAGCCCGGCGCCAGGCGCTTCAGCTTCGTGGCCCGGCGGAGGTGCGCGACGAGCGGGTCGGCCGCGTGGTCGTCCAAGCGCTCCTCCAGCGCGACCGTGAGCAGGTAGAACTGGGCGATGGCGCCGCCGTAGAGCGACGCGTCCGTGAAGATGAGCGGCAGCTTGACGAAGCCGATGGCGTTGCCCCAGGCGTGCTGCCGGTGGATGGCGCCCATCATGCGCGAGAAGAGCGGCTTGTCGCTTTCTCGTGTCTCCTCGTCGTCCATGGTGGAAGAGCTGCTCGATGTGGCGGTGTTTTGTGATAGCTGCGTTTCGGGTTGGCGGCGGTCGCGATCGCTGCTGGGCTGGCGGCGCGGCGCGCTGCGGGTGGCGACGCAGAAGACGACGCTGAGCAAGGCGGCACGGCGCGCTGCGGGTGGCGACGCAGGAAAACGACGCTGAGCAAGGCGCACGCGCTTCGTGCTGTGGTAAATCGTGAGCGCCGCGAGTGCGCAGCGCCGCGCGCGCCCGCCGCCGGGCGACGACACCGGTGGCTGCGACGAGCGAAACAGCGACGCCGCGACCGGGAACCACACCAACCACGAACTTACGAGCTTCAGACGTCGATGATGACGCCCTCGCCCTTGCGCGAGCCGGGACGACTCGCCGCGGGCACGTCGCGGCCGTCGAGGTCGAGGCTCGTGATGTCGACGTTGCCGCCGCCGTCGATGACGGCGACGAAGCGCACGGTGCCCGCGCCCTTGGAGCCGCGCGCCGTCGCGACGCACTGGACCTGCTTGCGGACCGCGCCGTTGATCGACGAGGAGCTGTAGGCCTGCTGCATGGGCGGGTCGACGACGACGTCGTCGCCGAGCTGCGGCCTCAGGGCGCGCTCGACGGCGCGCAGGGCGCTGTCCATGTCCGCCGCGGTCTCCGCCATGGCCTTGGACGCCATGCCGACGACGCCCTTGGCGACGGAGCCGACGAGACTTCCGAGGAGGCCGCCGCCCTTGAAGACCTCGTCGATCTCGCGGCCCATCTGCGCCTGCTGCTTCTCGAGGGCCGTCTCCTCCTTCTTGCCGAAGAACTTGGCGACGCCGTCGAAGAACGACGACGGCTCGTCGCCGTCGCGGCCGAGCCGCTGCTTCAACGCGGCGTTCTCGCGGCGGAGCCGCGCGACCTCGGCCTCGTCGTCGCCGCCGCCCTGCTGCGACGCGAAGAAGCGGTCGGGCTGGCGGTTGCAGAGGATGGGCGTCGTCGCGCGCGGCGCGAAGCCCGACGCGAGGCCCAGGGCGAGGGCCGCCGGCGCGAGGCGCCGCCGCGTGAGCAGGCGGCCGATCATCGCGTGTGCGTTGCGTTCTTGCCCTCGGGCTCGTCGAGCGCGATGCCGACCCACTCTTCCGACGCGCCGCTGAGCACGCGTGCGACGATGGACGCGCTGAGAACACGCGGAGCGGCTCAGACTGCCGCACTGCTTCCCAGGCTCATGTTGCCTTCGGTAGCTTAGAAGGTTGAACTAAACTGTTCCGGCGGGGCAGCCATCAAACTCCTCAAACACGACAAACCGATGTCGCGGCCGGACTGGTGCAGCCGCGTCGAGAACGTGCGCGGCAGCTTCGGCGCCCCGCGGCCGCTGCCGAAGCGCGCGGAGTACGTGCCCAAGGCCACGGAGCGGCGGCCCGCGCGGGCCATCGTCGACAGCAACAAGCCCAAGTCCATGAACGCGCCCATCCGCAAGATCACGCAGCAGCGCGTCGCCACGGGCGTCGACGTGCGCGCGGCGCGCATCTCGAACGCGGCGACGCGCGCGCAGAAGCGCGGGCCGCACAAGGCCGTTTCGAAGCCCCCCGAGGACGCGGCGCGCGCGCAGACGGCGCGCGACGCCCCCAACGCGGAGCGGCGCGCGGCCGCGCTCGCCGCGCGGCGGTCGACGTCCGCCGCCGCCGGGCGGGGCGCGGGCCGCGGGCGCGCCGTCGAAGCGCCGCGCGCCGTGCGCTTCGACGGCGCGTCGACGGCCCACGCGAAGACGCGGACGCGGCCGCGGCACGCGGCGCCGCCGTCGTCGGTCAACGCCGGCGGCGACATCCTGGGCGCGGGCGGCGCCGACTCCTGGATGGACTCCCTCGACCCGAAGGACTGGCGCGGGCACCAGGCCTTCGGCGACGCCCGGGAGGCCGTCGCGGGCGCGCTCCAGGGCAGCAAAAGAGCGCGACATTCCCAACTCCAAAGGCTCCTATCTCGGCCGTTTTCCACTCGTTTCGGCTGATTTTTGGACGAGCGATCATCTGTCGGAACGGTATCGAAGCCCGGATGCTTTTTCCGGAACGCGCGCGCGCGGAACACTCACGTTGAAGCGACGTTGAATCACCCTTGTGCTGCCCAGGCGCGCTCCACGCGTACGAGGACGTCGCGGAGGCGTGCGCGGCGTTCGGCGCGCCGCTGTCGCTGGACGTCGACGACGCCAAGGCGCCCGCGCCGGCCGGCGACGACCGCCTGGTGACGGCCGTCGACGGCCGCACCGTCGAGTTCTCCGGCCTGGCCCACGAGTCGGGGCCCGTGTCCGCGGAGTTCCGCGAGTCGCGGCGCAAGGCGCTCCGGAACGCGCCCAGGGGCAAGGCCACGCGGACCATCACCTGGGACCAGCTCAAGAAGAACTACGACCCGCGGGACGAGTGGGTGCGGCCGCCGACGGGCGACTGCCCGGACGCGTCCGGCGATTCCGACGCGTGGCGCGCCGCGTGGGAGGACCACGACCCCTGGGGGCCGAACCTGCCCATGGACGCCCCGGCGCCGGCGCCGCCGGCCTTCGGGGCGTCCGCCACGGAAGCGGCCTTCGGGGCGTCCGCCACGGAGGCCGGAGCGCCGCCGGCCTTCGGGGCGTCGGCCACGGAGGCCTTCGCCCGGAAGCGCGCGTCGCTGCGCACGCCGCCGCCGCCGCCGCGCGACGTCGCCGAGGGCGCCGCGCCCGCGCCGGGCTTCGACGGCGAGGCGGCGGACGCGGCGTCGTCCAAGTCGCAGCGCTCCGCCGCGTCGCAGCGCTCCGCGGCGTCGAAGAACTCCGCGGCGTCCAAGGCCTCGAAGGCGTCGCTCGCGTCGAAGCCGAGCGAGGTGTCCATCGGCCTCGTCGACGCGCCCGCGGAGGTCGTCGTCGACGTCGCCCCGGGCCAGTACCCGACGCCCGTCCCGACCTGGGAGAGCGGCGGCACGCGGAGCCGCGCGTGTTCGCCGACCGCGCAGTTCGCCGCGGGTTTGCGGTCCGACACGCCCGAGCCCTACGAGCACGAGAAGACGTTCTTCGTCGAGCCCGTCGAGCTCGAGCGGAGCTGCCTCGACGACGACGGCCGCGGCGTCGACGACGACGACGAGCCCCCGCCGACGCCCGACTTCGACTACGCGCGCGGCCTCCAGCAGCCGGGCACCTACGGCGACGAGTCCTTCGAGTGCTTCGACGACGAGGACCAGCCCTAGGCGCGCGCCTTTGATGTGTCCGTAAGATCGAGGTTCCCCGAGCGGCGCACGCCTTAGCTTCGCGCGCGCCGCTCCGAGTCAGGCCATCCGGTTCAGGTGCGTGATCTTCCGGTACGTGCGCGCCGCGTGCTCCCGGCGCACGAGCTGGGCCTCGAGCCAGCGGAGCTTCCGCTCGTGCTCGCGGTAGCCCCGGTTCATGAAGGCCGAGTCCGCGAGGAGCTCCGGCGCCGCGTGCTTCAGCGCGTGCACGTTCTCGCGGCCCGCGGTGAGCACGAGCTTCCGGTCGCGCTTGAGCTCGGTCGACGCGAAGGCGAGCGCGAGGCCGCACTGCTTCACGGCGAGGTAGACGACCTCCCGGTCGCCGCGGAGCTCCGCGGACGCCCACCTGCGCCGGGTTTCGGGTTCGGCGAGAAACTCCGGAGGCGCCGCGCGCGCGCTGGAGCGCGAGGCCGTAGTTGCGCACGGCGACGAGGACGAGGTCCTTGAGGCCGGCGGCGGCGCCCGCGTCCTCGAGCATGGACCCGTCGAGCGTGAGCGTCTCGAGCCACCGCGCCTTCAGATCGTAGCCTGAGGGTTTCGCGTCTTCTCGCGCGGCCGCCCCGGGACTCCGCCGCCGCGAGCGGAGGCGCGCGCGCGCGCCGCGCCGCCGCGGCCCCCGAACTTGACGCGACTCCGGGGCGCGCCGTGGCGATCCTCGGCGTGGTGGACCGCGACGCGCGTGTCGCCGAGGTCGCGCTTGATGTCGCGGCGGATCGCGTTGTCCTCGAGCTGCCGCTTCGGTCGGACTTGCTCGAGGGTCTTGGCGTTGAACTTGAAGCGGATCTCCTTGAGGCGCTGCGACGTGCGGTGCTGCTGGAGCATCGTGCTTTTTACGCGGTCGCGGCGTCGTCGCGTCTCGCGGTCGGCGCGGGTCGGCGCGGGTCGTTACGGCCTCGCGCTCGACGATGCGCGCGCGCGAGCGCGCGACACGGCTCCGGCAGCTAAAAGCTCGCAGCACACACACACAGCACGAGCTCGACCGGAGCCGCGCCGCGCGCGCGACGCGTTCGAGGAGGAGGAGCTGCCCCGTCTGCTCGACGACCTTGTTGGGCCCGATCGAAGAGCTCTTCTTGTGTCAGATGTTTGGCGCGATCACGACGACGATCACACGCTGCCGGAGCCGCGCCGCGCGCGCGCGTAGGAGGAGGAGGGCTGCCACTCCGGGCTGTTGCGGCTCGACGGGCTGCACAAAAAGAAACACCGCCGCCGGGGGTGTTTTTTTCAGCGCCGCCGAACAAAAAAAACACCGACACGTCCCTGGATGGCTCTGGAGGGTGGATAGATGTCGCGGGGACAAAAAAAAATCATCCGCAGTGGAGGTAGAGGGATTTGAACCCGCGGCCTTGTACGCTACTCGATATCGAGAAGTATCGCATGCGAAGCGATCGCTCTACCCCTGAGCTATACCCCCCGCAGAACGCTGCCCCGAACCCGCTACCCGGAGGCTGCCGATTTCGATGACTTGTTCGTTCGAATTGCGAAAGTCACACGCAGAAGCGTTCATGATCTCGGGAAGCAAGCACAACAAATCGACTGGCCGGGGGTTGCCCAAAGTTCAATGCTCTAGTATATCTTCTCAACCAACGCGTTTTATCAACCCTCTAAGCTTTGGAGCTGGGGCTGCGTGCCGCGCACCGCCCATGGCGACGCAGGACGAGCTCCTCCAGGCCGTGGACGAGTGCTGTGCGTTTTACGGCGCGTCGCGAACGTGACACTTCCGGAGAGCGAGAGAGCGTCTGTCATCTCGACGAGAGGAGAACGGCGCACGTCGAGTCGGGCGGCCGACGCGGGCGCTGGGGCATCTTAACGGCGCGAGCTGGGAGCGACCGGCGCGCGTGGGTTTTGCGCGAGCTGGGAGCGACCGGCGGGCGTCGGGTTTGTGCGTCGCCCGGCCACGATTCGGGCAGCCGTTTGGTCGTCTCGAGATTTCTCACGCGCAGGCGAGCGCGTCATCCAGTTCCTCCAGGAGAGCAACGTGCCCAAGGAGCAGATCGCGCCGATCATCAAGCTCGCGCAGATCCACGACTCCGAGGAGGTGCTCGAGATCGCCGAGGAGCTCGGCGCGCGCGCCGGGTCCCGCGGAAAGACGAAGAGGACCGAACGCTCGCGCCGAAGAGGACCGAACTCTCGCGCGCCCGAAGCGAACGAACCCCTCGCACGGACCTCACCCTCGCGACGCGACGCGCAGGCCACTGCATGGCGTACATGCGCCACGAGCGGCTCGTCCGCCTCCTCAAGTCCGGTTGGAAGGCGACGTGCACCTACAAGCAGGTCCTGCGAAAAAAGTCCTTCAAGGTCGTCGCGCGCCTCGAGGCGGACAACAAGACGGACGCGGAGGAGCTCGAGGAGGCGCGACGGAAGCGCGACGAGGTCGACCACAACTGCGCGCTCGCGAACCTCAAGCTCTACAAGATGGTCGCGCTGAACCACATCATGGAGGAGAACCCGCCGGGCACGGCGGAGGGCGAGGAGGCCGCGGCGCCGGAAGAGACGAAGTAGGAGCGGGCGGGCTAGTTTCGCGGTGGGCGGCGTTTCTAAGCGCGTTCGCGGCTGAAACGCGCGCGGTCGAACGCCGCGCGCCAAAAAAAATGCCGCACGCCCTTCGCCTACTTAAAAAAACGCAAAGCACGATAACACGAACCAAAAAAAACAAAAAAAGAAACCGTGGACAGCTCTCACGCGGGATCGAACCACGGACCTTTTGTTTACAAGACAAATGCTCTGCCACTGAGCCATAAGAGCAAAATCGAGATCAGCGAGCGCCGCGCCGCTCGGCCCTCTCGAAGTCCTGTGGCCGTGCACGCGCCTCGTCGGTGCGCCGCGCGCGCGTCGCCAGCGCTGCGCATCGCGCGGTAGCAGCACGTCGACGACCTGTGCACGAAATTCGGATCTGTGCACACGAAAGAGGCATCGCCGAAGCGCCGAAGCGCTGCAGCACATTGAAACATCAGACGAATACGAGGAGCAAACACTCAAGCTCGGAACAGACACTCCGGCTCTGCGCACATCATCAGAAGAAACCCGAACACCGTCGCAGCTCGAATCACAAGTCATGCGCCGACCGCGAACGAACGCGTCGCGGACGGCGCTCTCGGCGCTCTCGGCGCTCTCGGCGCTCCTGCTCCTCGCGCACACAGCACACACACTCACCCCCACGTCGCTCATGCGCGCGGGCCGCTGGCGTGACGCCCGAACGCTCCTGGAGACGGAGCCGTTTCACCGAGACAACTCCGTCGCGTCGTTGCAAAAGCTCTGCCTCGGCGAATGCCGCGTCAAGTGCCACGACGACGCCGCGGCACTCGGCGCCTTCCGCGAGTCCCTGGACCTCGCGCCGTCGGCGGCCGCCGAGCTCGGCGCGGCGCGCTGCCTCGCGCGCCTCGGCCGCGACGCCGAGGCCGCCGCGGGGCTGCGCCGCGCGTTGTTCCGACGCGCGCTCCCGGAAGAACAAATCGCAACAGTCACGCTCGAGGCCGCGGAGAGCGAGTGCCGCGCGGGGCGCCCGCGCGCCGCGGCGGCCTGGCTGCGCCTGAGCCGGCGCCGCGGCGCCGCGACGCCGGAGTCGCGCGCGCTCGAGGGCGTTTTGACCGGGCGGCGCGTCGGCGACGACGACTGCTTCCTCGCGCGCGCGGCCTTTGCCGGGCGCCGCGACGGCGCCTTCCTCGACCGGGTCCGCGCGAACGCGTGGTGCGTGCACGACCCCGCGTACCGCGCGCTCGACGACAAGGTCGCGCTCCACCGGCGGATTACGGAGCGCGGCGACGCGGCGCTGCGCGCGACGTGGCCCGAGGCCCGCGAGCTGCCCTGCGCCGAAGAGTTCGACGACGACGGCGGCGGCGGCGACGCCGTGACCTGGGTCGCGAAGCCGCGGCGCGGCTACGGCGGCGGCGGCGTCGTCTTCCACGGCTCCTGGGCGGAGGCGACGAGCGCGGGCCACGGCGCCCACCTCGCGCAGCGCTACGTGGCGCCCCTGCTGCTCCGCGGCCGCGCCGCGAGCCTGCGCGCCTACGTCGTCGTGCGCGGCGGCGACGCGTGGCTCGCGGCCGACGGCGTCGTGCGCTTCGCGCCGCGGGACTACGGCGACGGCCTCGACGGCGCGGTCCACGCGACGAACGCGGCGCAGAGCCTCTTGGACGGCGCGGACCTCGCAGAGGAGGACTTCGGCTGGGCCCGGGACCGCGTGCCGGGCTGGGAGTCGCGCGCGTGGCCGCGCGTCGAAGCGGCCGCAGCCGGCGTCGCGCGCCTCGCGCGGCTCGCGGGCTCTTCGCCCCTCGTGCCGGGCCTGCCGAAGATCCTCGGCCTCGACTTCGCCGTCGACGGCCGCGGGGACGCGTGGCTCCTCGAGGTCAACGCGACGCCGGGCCTCGCGCCGCGCGCCGCGACGGACGGCCGGGTCAAGGAGGCCGTCGTCGCCGCGGCCTGGGACCTGCCGCCGCGCTCCCGGGACTCGCTCCTCCGGCCGCTCGCGCTTCCGCCCTGAGTAAGCCCCGAGGTACGTCCTGAGACGTCAAATAACGTCACCTTTAGTGGCAAGAAATCCATATCTTGCCAACGGACAGCCCGCCGGATATATTCGTGCGACGTGTCCACAGCTGCAGCGCTCTCCTTTCGTTAGCATTCCACCGTCCACCGCTCTCCGTTGCAACGATGCTCGGCTTCCTCGCCCTGCTCGCCTCCGCCGCCGCCTACAAGCCGCACAGCCTGCTGCGCTGGCGGCGGCGCGCCCTGGCGACGCGGCTCCGCGCGACGCGGTCCCTGGCGCTGCCCCTCGAGCTCGACGACTGGGCGCCGGCGAGATACGCGTCGCCGATGGAGTTCGGCGAGGCCACCGAGCACGCGGCCCGCGCGCTGCGCGTGCCCGCGGCGCTCCGCGACGTCGCCAACCCCTACGGCATGCACAGCCACCTGGCCATGACGCTCTTCGGCGCGGCCGCCGCGTCGGCGCGGACCTTTTTTTTCTTCCCGCGCGCGCGAGCCTCTCCTCCTCCCGCAGGCTTCGCCGCGTACCCGGCGCTGACGAGCGCGCTGACGACGCTGCCGCCGCCGAACGCGAGCGAGGGCGGCTTCTTCTTCTCGCTCATGTCCATCGTCTTCGGCACGCTCACCGCGTCGACCATCTCCGACGCCGGCGACCGCCTCAAGGCGCTCCGCGCCGCGGCCGTCGAGGAGGCGACGCTGCTCCTCACGCTCACGAAGCGCCTCGAGGGCCTGCGCTACTGCGACGCCGACGAGGGCCTCGCGGCGCCCGAGGCCGTCTTCGCGACGTGCGCCGCCGCGGCCTGGGCGCACACGTCGGACCTCATCGACGGCACGCGCGACGACGAGCTCGCGGCGCTGGCGTCCGGCGACGACGAGGTCGTGGCCATTCTGGAGACGCTCGTGGCGTCGCAGGCCATGTGGGACGGCGGCCGCGGGCCCTCGGCGGCTTCGCACGTCGACGCGGCCGAGCGCCTCGTCGAGGCGCGGGGCAAGCGCCTGAGCCTCGAGTCCGCGTCCATCCCGCGGCAGCAGTACGACGTGCTCCACGCCCTGTCCGCCGTGCTCGTCGTCGCCTACGCCTACCTCACGCTCGACAAGGCGCCGCCGCCGCACGCGCTCGGCGCGTTCCTCGGCGCCGACGGCGTCCACTTCGACGGCTCCATCGGCGTCCGCGTGCTCTTCTCCTTCATCGTCGGCGCGCTCGGCGTCTTCAACCGCCTCGCGGGCGACCTCAACCGTACTGACGCGGCGTCCCGCGGTCGTCTTGTGTGAAACGAAACCGTCGCGCTTCCCGTAGGCCTCAAGGGCGACAAGCTCGAGTCGGCGACGGTCGCGGCGACGCTGAAGAAGGTCCGCGGCGGCCTCGCGCCGGCCCTGGGCCGGAGCCACATCGCGCTCACGCCCCGGTCCAAGCGGAGCGCGCGCGGCGGCCGCGAGTCGCCGTCGCCGGTCAAGTTCTTCGGGTGAGCCGACGCGACGCGCGCTCGGCTCCGCGCGTTGGACGCGCGGAGCCTCGAGCAGCCGCACCCTCGCGCGCTCGGGAACCCCCCTTGAGCAGCCGCGCACCCTCGCGCGCTCGGGAACCCCCCTTGAGCAGCCGCGTCCTGACAGCCGTTAGTCCTCGCGTGCTACCGACTGAGGTCGGCCAGCGTCAGGGCCGGCGGCAGGTCGGCGTCGTCGCCGAGGAGGTCGCACGCGGGCCCCCGGGGCACGATGCCCGCGGGGTTGAGCATGCGGTGGGACGCGTAGTAGTGCTCCTTCGCGAAGTCGAGGTCCACCGTGTCCGCGAGGAGGCGCATCGCGTCCCGCGCGAAGCGGTGGAGGTTCGGGAAGTCCGCCGCGAGGCGGAAACCCGTTTTGAAGTGGATGGAGTAGATCGCGTCGTAGCGCGCGAGCGTCGTGAAGAGGCGCACGTCCGCGAGCCTGCGCGGAAATCAAATCTTCAACCCGACCTCAATGTGCGCGTATGCGACAGTTTCGACGCAAGCTCTTCGGCTGTGCTTCGAGAACTCGACGAGAGCAATCGATTCGTCCAAAAGTCAGCCGAATCGACTTCGATTTGATCGAGAGGTTTGAAGTTTTTTCTGGACAGGGCGTTCCACTGGTTGATTTCCACACAGCCGCGAGCGTGAAGCGGTCGCCGCAGAGCCACCGCGTGCGGCTCAGAAGGCCGTCGATCTCGCGCATGCCCCGCGCGTGGGCCGCGTGCGCCGCGTCGTAGGCCTCCTGCGTCCGCGCGAAGCCGCAGCGGTAGACGCCGTCGTTGATCGCGGGGTAGACGACGGCGTTGACGGCGTCCATGGCCTCCGCGAGCGCCGCGGGCGCGAGGTCGACGTCCGGGCGGTCCGCGAAGTCGTCGAAGCGCGAGTTCAGCATGTCGGCGATGTCCGCCGACTCCGTGTTGACGATGGTCTGCGTCGCCTCGTCGAAGAGGACGGGCACCGAGAACGACGGCCGCCCGTCGCCGTGGCTCGCGCGGTAGCCGGGCGCGGCGTGCTCGTAGAGCTCGTCGACGAACGCGAAGCGGTCGTCGCCGACGAGCGGCCAGCCGCGGTAGGCGTCGAAGGGCGGCGCGAAGCGCAGGTTCTCCAACAGCGGGCCCGTGCGCGTGACGGCGACGGCGCGTTCGAGGCCCTTGAGCTTCAACACGATGGCGCAGCGGTGCGCCCACGGGCACGCGTCGCTCAAATAGAGCCGGTAGCGGCCCGCCGCCGCCGGGTGCGCGGCGTCGCCGACGCGCGCCCGGAAGGCCATGGGCGGCCTCACCATGGCGCCCGGCGCGGCCCTGTTGGCGTAGCGCTCCGCGTCGCTGGGCGCGGCGGCCTGCTTCGGCGCCGCGAGCGGCGCGGCGCACCGCAGGAGGAGCAACGGCACGAGGCGCCGCAGCGCTGGCCGCGGCCGGGTGCCGAAGCAGGCCTCCATGCTCTCCATGCTCTCGCGAGCCGGAGAGCCAAGGCCGCGCCGCCGACAACGTCGCGCGTCGCCGCGAGGCCCGTCCTTCGCGCCGCCCGACGCGCGCCCATGGCGAGCTTCGCGCCGCCCGGCGAGCCGACGCCGTCGATGCGCGACGGCTACAGCGCGTCGGAGGAGAAGAAGAAGCGGCGGCAGACGAGCTGGTACATCAGCGAGTGCGGCCTCGCCCTCAAGCTGCCGAAGCTGCCCGTCCTCACGGCGCAGCACTACTTCCAGAAGTTCTACCAGGCCGAGTCCTTCAAGGCCCACGACCGCTTCCACGTCGCCATGGCCTGCCTCTTCCTCGCGGCCAAGGTCGAGGAGTCGCCCGCGCGGCTCGGCAAGCTCGTCGCGACGTGCGGCGCGGTGCGCCACCCGAAGGCGCCGCCCCTGGACCAGCAGAGCGAGGCCTTCGCGGCGACGAAGCACGAGGTGCTCGTCAAGGAGCGCGCGCTCCTCTACGCGATCGGCTTCGACGTGAGTTTCGAGCTCGCGCGCGCTTTGGGAACCCGTCCGTCTCCGTAGGTGGAGGTGGAGAACCCGATGCTCCACTTCATCGAGCGCGTCAAGCAGCTCAAGGCGTGCAAGGCCCTGGACGAGGCCGACGAGCAGCAGTTCTCGCAGCTGGGGATCAACTTCATCGGCGACTCGTACCGGACGTCGCTCTGCCTCCAGCAGGCGCCGCAGAAGATCGCGTCGGCCATGGCCTTCATCACGATCATCTACATGCGCAAGCTGCCGCCCAAGTCGGACAAGGCGCGCCTCAACCGCATGTTCGCGACGCTGTCCATCTCCGAGCGGTCGCTCAACTCGATCTGCTCGGAGATGGTCAGCCTCTACACGGAGAACGCGCGCTGCCAGACGCTCATCCGCGACCTCGCCCACATGGGCCACCTCCACCCGGAGGTCCTCCGCGAGCTCGGGCTCGCGGGCCCCGCGCCGCGCGCGAGGTCGCCCGCGCCGGGCGAGCTCAAGCGGCCCCGGCCGCCTTAGAATCCCCGTTCTGTGTCTGGGGATGGTGTGCGTGGGGACGAAGATGGCGAAGACTGCGTGGTGCCCGCGGCCGTCCCGAGCCCCGTTCCCCGGCGTGCGCCGACGCGTTNGTTTCGCGCGG